TGTTAATGGACACACAGTGCGCCCCGGGGCGTGGTGCAGTCCAAGAAGAGGGGAATGTAGTAGTATGACAATTCCGTTCTCGGACGCTCTACAGTTGCTAGAGTGGCCTAATTTACAAGGTACCATACGTTGCATAGTGAACACGTGCAAGCTGCAGTGACAGCACACGTGTACTAGTTTACAGGTCCGTGTACACGTGGTGCCAGGGGCACAGTGACACACGTGTACACGGGAGGTGTCTCTTACAGTAGTTATGATAGCTACTGTACAGTAGTCGTACAGTAGCTTGAGACCCGAGGGAGGCAGACGTACTAGAGAGGAACTGCCTCCCTCCCAGAGAATAAACCAGCTACCCCATCCCCTCTGAGCTAGCCCCCAACTTCCTAATTAGGACTCACCTCCCGTCTTCAGGGGTAGCATCTCCCTTCGTCCGTTTCGGTCTCGCACAAGCCACCCTCCTAGTGAGGTTGCTGGCGTTGTAATTTACCGCTACCGTGGACACCCCCTCCGTGACGGATTAACACCGAACCGGAAGGATCCATATTATTACACTATGCCTGATGCCATATTTTCGGCAGACAGAGGATACAATTCTAAAGGGACAATTCATTTTGTGTCTGAGGTTCTCGGTGCTAGCCTTCTAGGCACGCACAAGAGCGACTTGTGGTATCGCTATGTTTTCGGTGACGGCCCGATTTCCCGTCGCCATAAAGGTATGGTGGTGTCGGAGAACGGCTGTCGGGCCGTGTACACGGCAAGATATAAGAACGGTGGTAGTCGAACCCCCGCGGCCCGGGGCGTTGAGGCCTGCGTCTATCACGAAAGTTGCTCTGGGCGTGTAACTGCCCTTGTTCACAACAACGCGTCTTTATTTCCTTCGAGATGCTTCACTATCGTCTTCCGCAACAAGTATCGGGAGGAGGCGGCTACTAGGAAACTGGTCTCGGCGATGATTGTTCATGACGTTCCCCTAACAAGCGAATGGTACAGTAGACGACACACGAGGTCCCAAGTTCAAGTGGTGCCACCAGAGAGCGGTAAGAGCCACGTAGAACAAGTGTTGGCCCGCGTCACACCGCGAACCTATTTGCAGTCAGAGGACTCTGTGTGGTTCCTTCTGCGTGCATTTAGATTCACGTCGAGGACTGGGCACGGGTTTGTTGCCGCTGTAGTGCGGAACTATGTCGCTTCTATGAGAGGTCTCGCTGCCCTGCTTCGTGGCAGAACAATCGTCGAAGGCGTGCAAGCGCTCAGCGACGACGAGGACGACGTGCGGTTACTACTCACGAACAAGTGGGACCAAATTGCCTGGGTCCAAGGTATGAATCTGACCGACCGGCCCAATCCTTCAACACGCCGCACAGTAGCAACCCGACTAGCAGAAATGACCCCCTTCCGCATTGCATCAACCAGGAAGGCTGAATTGCAGCAGATGTTGTCCACTTTTGACAGGGGACTGGAGCTACGGGTCCCGAAGTCCGAGCTCGTCGCTGCTGTGAACCAGCTGAAGGCCGACATAGCCAGTAATTTAGTTGAGCTGGACTCCGGGCTGAATGATGACGACGGCAGTGCAGAACAGCGCAGTCATGCCGCTGCGCAGCGTGTGTGCAATGCCTTTCGAGAGGCGTCACTTGAAGCATGGGTGATGAAGCCCCTTGTCGCGACAACTGGAATGCGAGAAGGAACTCGCAATGAAAACAACATTGTTGAGGCACTACCGGCGTTTCTAAAGAACTGCGGCGGAGCGTATAGGTGTCGACTAGGCTCACCAAACTTTCAATGGGATGAAACCTTTGCCTGCGAGGTTAAACACGTCCGGTGCACAGGACTTCTAGAGAACCGTTGATGCCCGATGTTGGCCGACAGCCCTGACGCGTTGCTGTCTGCCGAGGATGAGGAAGGGGATCATGACGTCTATGTAGTAGAGGTTAAAACTATGACGTCGATCAGGACCATTGAGAATGCAAAAGAACTCGCTGGAATATATGGCTCTGTGGTTGCTCTGGAAACGTGGGCGTCAACGCCCAGTCTACTGAATTGTTCAGAACGCTGGTGCCTACTGTACAATATAGAAGCCAGATTGTACACCATGCGGCCACGCTGGCAATCAACAAGGTGATGCATGTGGTCGGAACAGGTGGCTCTATTACAGACGGTCGTATACTGTACGTTTGTATGGTGTCATTCTCTGAGACATTCAGACACGGCTATACTTTCACCATGGATTGTGTCCGAGTGGCTGCCTTCCAGTGAATTGCCGAACCCACGGAAAGCATACCGAACGAGTACGATGTTATGCTCAAGACGTCACACGCGTCCGACCTATACGGCTTTGCGTCATACTACAGCCTCAGCCAAGCCATAAGAGGAGAAGTGCTACGTCGAAGGGAGCCTATTACACCCTCCAGGATGATAAGGCTGACGCCACCAGTGTACTGGAACAACCTGAAGGGTGGAGTAGATGTGATATCTAGATATTTGAGAACTCTAGCTAGGAGCAACATGAGCGAACACCCGGTGGTTTCTATCATAGCACGTCTTCTGTCTATGAAGATTAATAATGCTGCAGTTGCATACAGACTTCACGTGGCAAGGAGAACTCAAGTTTTGCCCGGTTTGGAGGATGCTGAAGTATCATATGGGCAGGGTTACGCTGCACTGAGTCACAAAGTGACGCAATGCATTACGTTTGGCACTTTCGCTCGGGAGCTCGCCAGCGAGTGGTTTGAGAGGTATAGTAAGGAGAACGGAGGTCTTCTTGATGAGAATGAAGATAACGAGTCTGGAAGGATCAAACCATTGTTTACTAGAAACGCTTCAGAAAGGTATAACATTGGGACGCACAAGGCCCGCTGCTTGAACAGAAGAATAGCACAAAAAGGGTCTCTGGACCTTTCACTTATTGTGTTCTTTGTTCCTGGTCATTACGGGGGGAGAAAGACGGAAAGATCAAGATTAAGTGAAAGGGCTCAAGGCAAATACAGTGGTGTCGAGCGTGTAGGCAGGCTATATGCACTGTGTGTTGCGTGGACTGGAACTCGAAGGACACCTTAAAGAGAGGCAGACCTACTGCTAGTGAGAAACGGGTATTTGATCGTAGTTTACGTAGTGTTAGGCAGCGCGATACATAGAACTCGTAAACAATTTCCTTCATTGTAGGATGAATTTGATGACTATTGTTGATGTTGTACCTCCTAAGTACACTCCCTGGGTGATGAAGGGCACTACAATTCGGAGAGCTCAATATTTTGTCTACAAATGTGCTGTTCCGGAGAGCACTGTTCGTTCGTTCATGAGACACTGCCATAGGAAAGGATGACGTAGAGCACGACTTTGAATACTTTTTGTGATGCTTTTGACCAAGTGTTCGAAACGGTCCACAAAAAAAAGTTTAACATTCCGCCATTCATCAAAGGATCCACGTTACCGAACATGCCTTACACTCTCGTGACCGGGAAGTAAATGCCTGTCGAAGGGGCATGATCCCGTCTCTTAACTCAGAGAATTGGAGGAGCTAGGGATTTATGTCCCGAAAGGGGCATAAAAATTCGTCATAATAATCGAGCATAGGGCTAACATGATTCCTGAAAAGATCGCCAAATCGAAGTGTACGCGCCTTACGATTGCACAGAAAATCGAGGTCGGGCATCTGCTGCAGGTCGGGAATGCGAATACCACAGTTATGCGTCAGTTCAAAATTTCAGAGCGAACCAGCCGAAACATCGAACGCTCTCTTGCTTCACTCCAACAAATTGTGGCCAACACCGCTACAACGCTCGGAACAAAAGCTTTGGTGGAGAGCTACAGAATCAGTCTGCCAGTGATGCATTGATGGATGATTGTGTGGCAGAAGACGAGTGTGAAATTACGGAGAGGCGGGCCGTACCGAGTGCTGTAGTGCTGGCAAGGTTGTTCGGGTCTTTGGAGAATCTAGGTGTGGAGTGCGATGTGTGAAATGCCTTATCGCACTTGAGGTCCGCAAAACGAGCTTTTCTAGAAACTAGGCATGAGAGACAGGGTCAAAGGCAACAACAGCAGACTCTAATAACAGAGTTCTGGCCGGGTAGTGGTTCTGCCATCTGATTGTGCCGCTCCGAATTAGTGCCGTATTATTAGTCTTTACACGGGACAGCACTAATGCGTAGGGTCGACTGTAGCAAATGCTACGGACGCTGAAGGTTGCAAACCTACAATTGTAGCATACAAGCGCGGGAAGGCGAGGAAGCGACGTTTGTTAACTAGCTTAATAAAAAGTACGATAGCTGCCTGTATTCAGACGTTTATATTCACACCACGCCGAAATGACGACATTCTGCACAGGAGCAGCTACGTACTGTAGCACGCTTCAAAATGTCCACGTACAGACAGATGGAAAATGTCAACGTAATGTCGATAAACACCTGCCTCTGTGGCGCGACGGCTTTACACGAATTTGCTGTTTTGACCCACAGGTGGGGTTTCAAAGTCAGCTGATCGCTCGTGCCGGTCATTGATGGAATATTGTCGCTTCGAAGGTGGCGCCAAGTCGAGTTGCATTGTTTGCTGTTAACCGCTAACGAACGCGGAATTAACGTGCTTTTGTCTCTGCTGGTGCTTCGCAAAGGGCCTGTAGTTACCCAAGCTGAAGACCGCGTGGGAGGAACCTGGAAAACGAGGATAAGCTGGCGAAGAGAAGCCAGTTACCACATCCCCTGATGTCTTGCGGCCTGAATCCGTGCACACAATGGCGGTGTGGTCGCACATTGTGGACTGTCCCGGGAGCCCAACAATATACACGTGTAAACATTGCAGCGCAGTCTCCCTCTCACACACTCTCCAAAACTCGCCCCATCCCTGGCTCTCTAGATGCTCACGGTCCCAATTCTGCGAGCAAGAACTACCTTCCCATCTCTCCCCGATCACGAGTCGCGCTTTGCCTCCGATACCACCTCACAATGCTAAGTCCCGCCTTCCTCTTTCCTCTCCCCTCCATTCGTCGCCCTGTTACTCGCGTTTTCACCATGTCGACGACACCCGCACGCCAATCGACCCCCCGCGTCTACACTCCGGTGGATCACATCCGTCCAGAGTTAAAGAGCATGTCACCCTACACCCCGATCCTTCCGTACGAAGTTCTTGCCGAACGTCTCAACCGCTCCCCCGCTGATATCGTCAAGCTTGACGCCAACGAAAACCCATATGGGCCCGCCCCAGCCGTCGCCAAGGGACTTGCCGATGCGCAGTACTTGCACATATATCCAGACCCCGCCTCCGGTTTCTTGAGAGATGCCTTGCAAGACTATACTGGCTTGTCGAAGGAGTATTTGCTTGCAGGCGCCGGCGCGGATGAGCTTATTGACCTGCTGTTTAGGTTGTTCATTGTGCCAGGAAAAGGTCATTCTGTTATTAACTTACCGCCGACTTTTGGGATGTACAAGTTTGATGCTGATGTCAACGGGGCAGACGTGGTCAACGTGAAGCGCAAGCACGGGTCTTTTGCAGTTGATATTGAGGCCGTTGAGCACGTGTTTGAAAACGCTGCGCCGGAAGATTACCCAAAGATAATCTTCGTCGCCAGCCCGAACAATCCAGACGGATCTGTGGTGTCCGATGACGTCTTGCGCCGGCTGCTTGCGCTTCCCACGCTTGTCGTGCTCGACGAGGCCTATTTTGAGTTTGCGCAAGACAATCGCCTTCTCTGGGTGCCGCGCTACGACAACCTCGTTGTCCTACGAACTTTCTCCAAATGGGCCGGGCTAGCGGGCATGCGCGTCGGCTACGGTGCGTTTCCGCTTGGGATCATTGAGCACTTGTGGAAGATCAAGCAACCTTACAACGTCAGCGTCGCGTCGCAGATCGCCGCCGTAGCCTCGATACGAGAGAAGGGCAACTTGTTGGCCAAAGTGGAACGCATGATAGCGCAGAGGGGATTATTCTACAAGGAGGTTAAGCGGTTCGACTGGTTGACTCCGTTTCCGTCCCAGTCCAACTACGTTCTGTGTCGTGTTGCGGGGGGGAGGACTGCAGCGCAAGTCAAGGAACAACTGGCAGAGCGCGGGATTTTGATCCGGTACTACACAGCTAAAGGACTTGCCGATTGCATCCGAATATCGATGGGCACAGAAGAACAGATGAAGCGGTTATACGAGGCGCTCGTGGAGCTGTGACACCTCGGCTCATATTTGTAAATATTGTACTCACTAGGAAGAGCGCACCTTAGCCACGCTCGTCTTCGCGGATGGCTTTCTGCAGTGCCTTTTGATTCGCTGTAGAACTATTCTGACCCGTCAGTTCGCGAATCAGCATAGTTGCAAATTCCCCACGTCCAAGCGTAAACGCTATTATAAGTGCCTTTTTGGGTTCCTCTGGTATTCCAGCGCCTTGCGTGTCCACGCCCAGCTGCTGCGAGTCCTCGTGACTCAATGGTGAGCTAACTCTCCCATCTGAGATGACATCCCTCTGTGCTGCAGAGGTATTTGAGTTACGATTATCATCGGCGGCAGTCCTAGTCTTCTTTTCCTTTGCAGTCTGTGTGTCGTCCGTGTTTTGCTTTTCGCCATTTAGAATGTCAATTTCAGACTCAAATGTTTCTCCTCGGTTCTTTCCCAACAAGGTTGGGACGTATGGTTCGATTAGTACATCAGATGAACTGGAATAAGACACAATCTCCATCTCCACATCCTCGGGCTGTGACAGTAGGGGCCTGTAAGTACCCTTCATTCCGTAGTCTGAGGTGAGTCTATTTGCAAGATCGATTTTCTGCTCTTCCATCATTCCCTGGACGCGCTCTGCGTATGGCATACCATGCGATAGTGATACTTCAGAACCGAGCACCGGTATCAGTACCTGGAAAACGGACACAGATTTTTGCCGCTCTTCTTCCTCAGACACCACCCTCACGGCTGTCTCAAAGTTCATCTCCCCTTTCTCCTCCGGATTCATGAGCACGATATCTCCCTTGATAGCATGCATGCGGGACTGTTCATCAGGACGACACATGCGGATCCTCTCTGAGGCTATCACGTTCCACAGATAGCTCTGCACAGCATGGCCATACATGCGCCGCAAATTGCGCGGAAGCTTGTCAAAGGCAGCCCTGTAATCATACCTGTCCCGCTCGTGATCTTCATCATGGACAAACGATGAGACGATGGCCGTCTCAATATGCATCCATTTGGGCAGCACTCTCAAGAGATCCTTAGCCGATATCTCCCTCTTCCCAAATTTCTCGAGTGCATCATTCATTTGCCGACGCTCCGGTCTGATGCCATCTCTCCCATTTTCATCCCACTCGTTCAGTCGCAACGGCAGCAATATCCTGCGACACACATCCTCAAAATCACCGCGCAGGAACGCGAACCCAGTCTCGTGAGTCCCAGACACACCCGACCCAAACCTCTGCAAGCCAAAATAATTGACGAACCCGTGCTTGCGCACACTCTCCACAGCCGCTTGCACATTCGTTCGATCGTCCTCAGTTGCTAAATCCAAATCCCGAAGTGCTAGGGTAAAGCGATTTCCTTTCAAATCGCCCAGCCCTAGCGACCCTTTTGTCTCCTTCGGCAATATTTCAACGTCGCCAACCGCTATCGATCTTCCACCCCTCTCGCGCCTAGTTATCGTCCTATTCGCGTGGGCGAAGCGGCTCTCGGAAACCCCTCGCACCTGAACGAGCTGGGTGGTAACGGCCCTCTTATCCTTTGTCCCCGCGTACGCAAAAGCGCTGGACGGAACACGTAAGATCTTGGAGAGCGTATTGAGGGCGTCCATGGTATCTTTGTTTCTCTTCCACAGCACAAACTGGACGTAAGTTTGGCGGGTGACTTGCGGCGGGGCATCCTCACGCCATTCGCGATGCTTGTGCGGGAGGTGCTTGCCCTCGCGCGGGTCGTACGTGGCAGCATCGACGGCATCGGTGTTGAACAAGGAGTCGGTGCGGCGGCGCTTCCAGGGGCGGCAAGATTTCTTGAGGCGCAGTCGGACGGCCTGTCCTTGGGTGTCGTCAACCTCACGCGTCACTGTGTCGGTGATGTATTGTGGAATGTTGTTGCGAACCCAGACGTGCATAGCCGTTCGTCTTTGCTTGTCAGTACAAATGGGAAGCACGACTTCGGATTCCTGAGAGTCGATAGCCTTCCGGATGAGGTCTGAAATGGATGCTCGTTGCGGTTCTTCAAAACAGGCTTCTAGTGCCTCGAACGCAGGTTGTGTGGATTGGTTGCCCGCATTATCAGCCGCAGTGGTTTCGTGCTCCCTGGGAGACGGTTTGCTCTGAAACTGGGCCAAACGGGTAAGCTTGGCTATCTTGCCGGAGCGGGTGACCTCGTTGACGACAAAGTCATTGATGCGCTGTTTTAGGATTGCGCGAAAGGGGCGGTGGTAGCTAAGGAATTCGGTAATGCCGACATCGCTTTCGGTGATGGGCATGTCAACGAGAGATGTAGCGGGGCATCAAAGCGGCCTTCGAGGGCTTTGATCGGGATAGATGAGTAAATGTGAGACTGTGTTATCATCCAGGGAAAGGGTAAGCTTCTTAGATCATCTCTACCAGAGCCCCGTCGACGCCCAACCCCTACACGTGTCCTGTACAGTAAAGTGCAGCATGATCCCAAGATAACATAATGCAAAACAGCTACAGGTTGCTGTAGTTGGCTCAATAATAATAAATCAGTTTCGCGACCTTTTATTCTTAAAGCCCGTGTGACGTCAACCTGACGCCCTCCTTTCACGCGACAAGCTCCGCGTAGAACCTAAAGTTTATATCATCCTCGACGACAGCCTTCTGTTTGCAATTTCTTTGACAGCCCCATCATGGACACGGAAGGCATACGCATTCGCACAAGCGGCCTGCGCAGCGCCGTCAAAGACACAGTTCGAGATATTGCCTCCTCTGTCGATCCCCCCCAACCCGCTTCCCAAACGCAAGACCGCGCCTTCAACCTTGCGCAGGTCCATGACACCGTCAGCCCCCTGTTTGTCGCTCTCGCCACAATCGTTGGCGCCGTCGAGCCCATACTCGATCGCGTCTCTGACCTCGTCCAGACCGTTTGGAAGGCCCTCGAGCCGTATCATCCGGAGGACTTGTTTGTCGCTCTGTATGGCTTCCTGCTCGTGTTTTTTGGCGGCGTGTACATGACCCTGGTTGCTTCGTTCGAGGCCGCGCATATCTTTGGATGGGCTAATATCAAAATGGCTGTCAGGGCACTGTACTACGAGTGGGGGAAAGCCCGCGCGGCGTTTGAGAGAGATAATAAGGTTTGTTGTTGCATTTCAAACAGCCTGCGCGAATGCACCTGCGCGAATGCTGTGCCGGCGATGACCAGTGAGAAGATTAAAGCTAACAACTTATTATCGGTGTGAAATTGCTTCGTGTAACAGGTTGATGCGAACCGCGACGGTATTGCAGATGTTGAGCAACTGCAAGCGAAAGACCTCGCTGCTCGCCGCATCATGGTTCTGACCAGATCTATCAATCCGGAGAACGTGTCCGTCGCCTTAGAAGGATTGACAATGGCTACCGTCGCTATATTAGCTACCTTACGCGTCCGATTTGCGAAGGCCATCACCCTGGGGACTGCTATCGGCGATGTGCTCAACAAAATTTTCTCCCCGTTTACGACACAGATGCTCGAGTACGCCCTTCCCGACGACTATGAAAAGTGGATTCCCGTAAGTTCCTCAATTCCACTTGTTCCATGCGCTGTTGTGCAGCTGCCCTGACACTAACCATTCTTCAAGCTCACAATTCCTCTCCTTCTGTCTCGCAACAAAACCATACCCTGTTGCAGGTTGTAAACAAGTATGGCTTCCGGTATGTCGGTATGTCCGCCTCATGGGTGCTCATGCGCGCAGTGACAAGCGTCTTCGCAGCGATGCGGGGGAGCTCCCTATTCATCACTGGTGTCTGTGCGTATTTAACGCGGTACGGCTATGCCGACAGGAACATCTTCAATGAAGGCAACCCCTTGCTGGTGGCCGCTTGGACGCTGCTCGCGTTGCTAGGCATCTACTGGCAGGTATCGAGCGGGTTTGTGCTCCCGTTTCCGCTCAACGTCATGTTGCTGCCAGTGACGATTGCAGAAAATGGGCTCATTCTAGCAGTGGGGGTGTCCGCGAAGTAGAGGTGCGAGATGCGACAAGAAAATAGGTCACACGTGTCATCTCAGGGATAGAAGCAGCTGAAGTAGACGATGGGCTATTCTTCCAATTCTGCGATGTTCAATGCGTCGAAATGTTCGGACACCTCTGGCAGGGATGTCGTTGAGGCTTTGGCCTGCTTTGGCGAAGACGAAGGTTTTCGCTTACTTGAAGCTTCGTCTTTTGATTGTTTGCTATTGTCATCACTCTCAAGACCTCGATGAGGACCGACCTTTCTTTCGGAAGCGGTCTCCATGCCCGTCCTCTCGCTCGCATCTAGTGGGCCGAGGTAGCATCGCGCGAGCATGTATTCAGGATTAACCCACGAGTGATACTTGTTAAACAGCGAAGTCGCATCCTACCCACGCGCACACGGGAACATTGAGTTCACAAACAACAAAGTCAGAATCTGGAAACAACTCGTTGTATGCTTTCCTCACCATACTCTTGAAAGTACCTTTCCTGCGCCCATGAGCATCATTTCAACACCACCGGGGTGATACTCTATGTACGGGGTGACGTCAAAGACACGGCCGTTAATCGCCATCCACGCACTCTCTTTGCTCTTGTGGGCTCTCAGCTCGCGCAGGGAGACTGGGCGCTGGTAAGGGCGTGGGAGACGGCCGGAATTACGCACCCAGTCTAGCTGGGAGCGGCCGGGGGGGAGGGCGACTTTGCGCCGCGCGGAACCGCTTGCGCGCATCTGATCGGACTGGGGGACGCGACTCATCGTACCGGGTGTGCGGTCGAATAAAGTTGCGGTGAAAGGGAGAGCTCAACGAAGGAGAGAAGGGTGCGTTGTAAGATAAGACAGCCTTCGAGAGCAATGCATGCGGGTGCCAGCGCTCATTTGCATGGAAATATAGCACTGTACCGTTAGGCGAGGACTGTACAGCGTGTCACAAGAAAAGCACAGCAATGAAGCTCAATGGGACGCTGTGCACGTACAAGGGGGTCCCCTGAACGAGGTGAGCAATAAACGTGATCGAGAGTGTGTCCCTCTCCGGTGTGAGGGGGCGAGCTGCCCCCGGTCACACAACTTTATGTCATCCAGTCCGAGACTGGTAGGCGCGATACTGCGCCGCCGTCGAGTGTAGATTACTAATTAATAGTTAAATCTACGATGGTGCGCATACAAAATTCTCCCTTTTTGGTCCGACTACATTCGTCGCCCAATGCCAGCTGTCCAAGTATGGACGGCGGCGGTCCGGAGCGTTCTTATTGGACGAAATGGCTTTCGCCACCTCATGGCCAAGGGCCCTATGATATGCCTATCTTGGCATCCCCGTCGTTCTTGAACAGACCCCCCAAGGCTTGAACAAAAAACGAAAGGGTCATTCTGAGATTGGGAGGGGGACAAGGTCAAAATCTTTCGGTGTCAGCGGGGGACACATGATATTGTATCGATACAGTAGGGGGCAGGTGCATTTTGTTTCGATAAAGGGGGGGGACGAAAAAAATCGACCCAAATAGGAGGGGGAATTTGGATTTCCGACTCGCACTTTTCGCGGAGTTGTTACAATGGTAGGGGGACTCTGATTTCTTGATCATTTTGGGGGGGGGACTAGGCTACCGTAAGCAATGTACGCAAGAGTGCTTTTAGTACCCCTTCAATCCCCTCCTTGCAACCATCGAACATGCTACGACGTTCGCCCCGCGCTGGTACCGCTTTCTACGACGGGAAATGCGAGATGGTAATGCTTTTGCTTTAATGCCTCTGCTTTTTCCATCTCGTCTTTTAACTTTTTCAAAAGGGATGTTCTATGGTAAAACCAATTTGTGTGTCCTTTGTTCAACTTCTAAGACACGATCGCTAGCATTTTGTCTTATATCATAGCTCTCATACCGCACCACGCACGACCGATCATCGATCGCTTAGTATAAACATAAGAAAAATCATGCACTGTCGGGATACTTACTGCAAACTGGATATATGAGACAGGAAAGAAGAGCCTTTTTGCTCTTCTTTTCCTGTCTCATATATGCTTGATATCGGCAGGTCGAGCTGGAGAAAGCAGAGGAGCGGGATATCGTGGAGGTCCAGACGCATGGAGGTGAGTCAGCTGTGAGGGAGACAGATGGGTATTTAAACAGGGGGATTTGGAGAGGGTGCTGTGAACGGACGAGAAGTTCGTCTGTTGACTTACCTTTTTCTTCTCCACTATGCGGCGAGGCGTGCGATCCATTCCAAAACAGATAAACCATACATGACAAGCGCTGAGCACGTACGCACCCATAAGCCCCCAGAAGCGTGTAGTTGAAAGCTGGCGAGAAGAACGACTTGCGATCGGCCGTGGGCTCCCATGGGACGAAGCGGTTATGCACGGACGTGGGTGGGGCGCAGCGCGTCCTCCTGGCAGGCCGTTTCGTACAGCAGGCGCTCCCGCTCGGAAAGGAAGCGGCGCTTGGAGCCACAGCTCGCGATGAATTGGATCTGCTTGGTGATCCGGCGCATGCGTTGCGGGCGGCGCGGGGGTTGCGGGGCGTTGGGTGCGTGGAAGAATGGGATGCCAATTTTTGTCCCCGTTTTGCCAGGGGAGGGAGATACGCTCTGATCCGGTTTTTTCCTGCTCCAGTTTTTGTCCATTGCCTATATCTTGCCCGCATCCTTTGCCCGCTGCGCCCCGTTTCCGGCCACGCCTGAAATCAGTGTCCCTCCTTCCGGCATGCACTCACCTTGCCACCACGCACACCCCTCCTCTCCATTTCCGTCATCGCCCGCCCTCGCCCGCCCTTGTCCACCCTTCTACCTCCGCCCCGTGCCGTGCATGCTTCCGCAGCCCGCCAACCTCCGCCGGACGCACGGTGTAGTTGCCCACCTGCAGCACGCCCCTGGCCCGACCCATGACTGCGCGCGACGCCCACGTTCAAGGGCAGTCCCAAATTTTCCGTTTACAAGTCTTGCGGGTCTCATCTATCTACCATACCCTACTCTTCCATCATCACCTTCGGCGTCAACGACAACAAACCCAACCTCTTTCATCCTCTTTCATCCTCTTTCATCCCCTTCTCCCCCTCCTTCTCACCCGGCCAACCGGTTCTCCGCAGCTCCCCCGCGTCCCCTTTTTTCGTGCCCATTTTACACAGTGAAGGGAGATGACGCTCTGCGTCGTCGTCGATGTCCATGTCCTGGATGCCGCCGGCGAGTTGCGCTCAGGTATCGTCAAACAGCTGTCGCAGTTGGCAGCTGGTGGATACATGACCGTCCAACTGACATAGTGAGCAGGAATAAGAACGTTTTTGCGAGCCTCAGGTCCCTTCTCATACCATCCTTTCCGCCTTTTTCCCGCATTCTTTACCGGGCGGCCTCTAGGCGGTGGAATGGCTTTCGGAACATGAAGGTTCTTTCCAGACACTACCAATTTCTTCGCACTGAGCATAACTTCATCAACGCGCGACTGAGACGGGAGCTGGAACGTGCAGTTTTCATACTGTTTCTTCCACGCCTTCGTAAGATGTCTCTCAGCGATGAACTTGTGCAAATTGCTCACACCAAATTTTTCGCTCAAGACTGCAACTCCGTGTAGGCATGGGAATCCAGTGCCTTTTTCGGCATGACTGCAACATAGCGGTGACGATTGCGGCGTATCTCGCAAGACAACTCGGCGGAGTATTGAACCGTCTGTCTGGCTTCGAACCGTTGCCTCAGTTTGGCGCGTTCCAGAGATGAATCTCACCGACCGCTGATACCCCCTTGCTCGAAGCACAAGTGATGCCAAATGCTTCTCAGTATTTGGTGGCACCGGTTTGGCACACTCAATTGCTGCAATTTGTCGCTTCAAGAAGCGTGACCTTTGCGTTAGCAGTACTGTGGATATCATTTTCTGCGGCTCTACGGATCTGATGTTATTTCTAATAGCTGATGCCATCTCACTCTCTGCCCCTTGCGAAGAGGTCGTCAAATCCTCTAGTTTTGAAAATGCCCTGTACAGTTCTGAGTCTTGAAACCGTGCCAGATAGTCCCGTTGAACATCTGAGTATCCAGCTTTGATTATCATTACCGCCTGCCTGTCTGGGGCGTATACAGCGTTTTCATACATCTGTAGACCGCTAGTTTTATTTGCACCAAGTCCCGGTGCCAGGTTTTTCTTGACGTGGAGAGGGTCCAAAACCCAGTTTGCGCTCTTCATGCATTTTCGAAATGCGGAATCGATCGCCTTCTCTTGGTCCACAATTGTGGTTCTCCTTTCGACATCGAAGCCTGGGATCCTTGAGCAGGTTTCGAATACCAGACTCCACGTTTCTAAGCACTCTGCGCCAACATGATGTGCAAATACAATTGGAACTAGATGACTGTTACAGTCGTACGCAAGGACCTCGAATGTCGTTCCATAGCTTTGTGGTCCCACCCCGTCGCAGTGTGCTGCGTCGGCAGTCGTGGTAGCACGACCAGTGCTGTGGTATAACCCCCCCCTTGGGGCTTTATTTTAGATTAGATCAACTCAGAATGGGATCGGTTACTGTAGGGCTCGATGCTCTACAGTACCACCACGTGTACCCCCGAGTACAGGGCCCACGTGTACACGTGTACGCACGGGACCGAAGAGCGCGCGCACACGTGTACTGTCAGCCCCGATGGCTGACAGTATTACAGTGCCGACCGACCGCTACAGTACATCGGTACTGTACTATTATGATAGGTTATTATGTACATTAAATATGGAGTGGACCGGCGGCGGTGGAGGAGGACAAGCACGGACTTGTCACCCACCGACCGTCAAGGTCCAACTTCCCGCTTATTCTAAGGTAGCGTTCGCTAACTGCCTTAGAGCGGCACCGAGCTCGGGTTGAGGACGCGCGCGGAACGCCCACGAGTCGGCTCCGCCTCCGCCCGTCGGTACTGGATCGTTACCCAGTACCGCGCCGGGGCGTCGAGGCGTCGAACCGCTCGCGCGTACCGGCGTCCTCCCCGTTCCCGCTCTACCACGCTACCCAGGCCCGCTGCCCGGTGCCGTTAGCTGGTGTCCCGCTTCACCCCCGTCTTCCCGTTCGGACGGGGTCTACGTCGAGCTGTGCATACACCCCTCTCCGTTGGGGGTGTTTATGCTACAGTGGTCTCCCGACCTAGAAGACCCTGGAGTCCGATCTCCGAGAAGACTTCCGCTTCCCTCCGCGAACCGATCGCGTCGAGATGAGCCAAGAGTTTGAGCCCTCGATCCGCTCCGAAGCGGCGGATCTGAGTCCGGCCGCTGTGCAGTCCCCATCCGCCCCGTCGGGCGACGGCGACGCAGGTCCTCGTGACCGCGAACCGTCGCTCGGATCCTCCGAGGAAAGAGCGGCGGCGATGTTCGAACGCATAGCCGAATACATGGAGGAAGTCCGTACTTCCCTCCGGATCGATGTATCGGACCATGTATACACTCGATGTATGGCCGAACTCCGCTCCCTGCGTGAAGGGAGGTTCGATAGAGTGACGCAGTCCTTAGAGAATCTCCGAGCACTGATCGACGAGTTACACTCGCGGATCGTGCTCGTCGAAGACTCCCGTTTCGCCTCGCCCGGACCGTCCGGGCAAGGTCGCCCTGAGAGGCCGACCTCGGTGAGACGACCCGATGAACGAACCTCTCCGTCCGCAGAGCAATTGGGTGCGTTCGCGCACCTCTCCGCTGAGCTCGACGCCACTCGTCGGCGTGCTCGTGACATGGAACGTACCATGGCCGAAAGGCTACCCGGTGCCCCCCCGAGAGGGCCCGGTGGTACCGTACCTCCGAGCGCCGCCGCCCCCGAGGG